CTTCGGGGTGTTCTGCAGTTCCTCCGTACGTGGCCTTCAGTTCCACAGTTCCAGCATTTTGGTTTCTTGTCACTCCTTTTTCGTCCGATGGCATTTAATTGTCTGTTCAACTCGTCTGTCTTATTTTCCGTGCTCTGGGAAGTTCTGCAGTTCCTTCGCACCTTCGCACGTGGCCTTCAACACGACAGTTCCAGCACTTTAGATCTAGTTTCTTTTCACTTCTGTTCCGTCTCAAGCCACTGACTTGTCTGGTAAAATCATCTGTTTTATTTTCCGTACGTAGGGGTGTTCTGCAATTCTGTCGTAGGTGACCTTCACTACCACATCTCCAACACCTTAGAGCCACTTTGTTCTCGATCCTACTCCGTATCAAATCGTCGACTTCTCTGGATAAATCATCTAAACGAGCCATCAATTGATCCACTGGCTCGTGGACTCGCACAGCTTTGACTGGGTAGCGATCTCTACGAGTTGCTTGCTGGGCTGCCTCAAATTTCATGGCATACACTAAAGCGCTTTTCAAATCTTTAACATTCGCCATTCGCAGTGCTTTCTGTATTTCTGAGTCCTGGATGTCATCGATGAAATATTGCAGCGACAGGATTTCTCTTTTTTCTGTCGGGCACTCCGAAAATTCATGATGTGACAACCTTTCAACATCCGTGGCGAGCTCCTGAAGTGTTTCGGTAGGCTTCTGTTGACGGGATTTTAGTTGAAGCCTGCTGTAGTCTTTCAAACACTTTTCCCCAAAGCGCAGCTCCAATCCGCCGGATAGAGCTTCAATGTCTAGTCTCTGGTTTTCGGGAAGCGTCTGCAGGATATCCGCTGCGTCTGCTCTCAGAGAAGCAGCGAGATGACAGGCCTTAGCTTGGGAATCTCATCCATTCGCATCCGCAACTATAAAAAATTGGGTCTTATACACTTGCCAGGATGTTTTCCCATCATATGTGGATAGCTTCAGAGATGGACGAACAGGCATCGGTAAGAATTTAAAATCATCACTCTTGCTCCCTGCTGTCGCTACGAATTTCTTTAGAGTATCCATTTCTTTGGCAACTGCAGAAACTCTCTCATCAATTTGTTGTTCGATTTGTTGTTGGACAGCAGAAACGTTTTCTTCAATTTCACCAACTCTATTTTCAACCATGTCCACTCTGTTTTCCATAGCCCCAAATTTGTTTTCTATTATGTAAGTAATTTCCCTTTTCATTTCTTCTTGACCTGCTTCAATCTTTTCTTGAACAGTCTTCATTTCTACTTTAATAGCTTTCTCTTTTGTAACAGATTCTTCCATCTTTTCCTGAGCAGATTTAATCTCTGCTTTAATTTCTTCCTGTCCCGCTTTCATTACTTCCTGTCCCGCTTTCATTTCTTCCTTAAATGAGGCAAAGGCTGATATCAACTGCCTGAACTGTTCTTCCATCGCTCTTGTTATTGGCATTCAAATCCCACTTCTGACACCAAAAATTGTTGCGTGCGTACGGATTCGTTACGAAATGAATGCGCAAGTCCGATAAAAAATGAACAAAAATTTATTATTATCACAACAAATATGCTTAAATTTCCTCAAATCATCGTGCAGTATTACAATATCTCACAGCAGTTATCTTTTAACTACTCAAACGTTCAATAGAACTTAACTCAAAACAGCTGAAGAAAGCTAATCCGCGAATTCGCTACAATCAACAAGAGCAGTTTTCTAAACAACAACAAACTAAGTAACTACAACGAACCGAGAGATTTTCCTCCTTTTATAAGATTTTAAAATCGCGCGCGAGAATTTTCTAGTACTTTCTCGAAATCAAAAAGAGATATTTATTAAATGTTAAATGCACGCGCTCTTGTATTTTCAATTTTCCGGCACTGCGCGGGAAATAAAACCATTTAAACCTGAAAAAAGGCCGCTTTTCGGCACTCTGTGAAACAAACGCAAAAAACGCCTTTCTAACTGTGAGGTGTTGCCCAATTACCAACGTCATATGCCTACAACTAATTACTTTATGAATGCCTGGGATGCCTATGTTAAGTTAATGGAGTTAATGAAGGTCAGTGAGGTATGTGTTCGGCAGATCCACTGGTTTACTGGAAATCTCGCTACTAACTCTCCTTGCTACATCTGCAAATAGTAAATGAAACTTGAATGTTTTGAGTGAAATGATGGTACAGTAGAGTAATTTTATATTCTGTATTTTGTACTAACCAGATACTGGCAGATCTAAAAATAATGCGGAAGGAGAAAAACTTTTGAAAACAGTGTAGAGATATGCCAATATACAAATGACGAACTTATGAATGAGATTAAAGGTGACTTTTGTCCTCACCCAAAAACAGCAAAAGCACACTTCCTTGAAAGTTACGGTGATGATGTATTGGTAATAGTTAATATGCCATATACTGTGTGATTCTAGGCTACAAGTCACAAGGTTTTTAATGATTCATGATATCAGGAGAGGTTGCCAGATGACGAGGAAAAGCCAAGAAATGTCGAAACAGCAGATGCTATTATAGTTGGGAATGCACGTTCTCAAATGTATAACACGTCACTGTACCTTCCAACAGATAGATTTTAAGGAAGCGTTGAGGATCTTATTCCACATTCTCTTCAAGTTCTTACAGATGCTGTGGTCATGAGCAAAAAGAAAAGAAATATTGACAAACAGAGGTAAATTCGCGACTGCTTACTTACAGCCATGAGGCTCAAGTCATACATATATCTTCTCTGCAAGTGCGAGTTGCAGCATTTTTGTATGGAAAGTACGGATCACACAGATCACTTAATGTGCTGAGTTTATTAAGAATTTGCTCATCATACACGGAAGCTACACATTTTGAAATGTCCTTTATCATCCAATCATTTCTGATTCTTAAGCCACAAGCACTTTCTGAAACAGTGTATGCTAACGAAGATGTGTAAGCTGTTGATGGGTACAATACATTCCACTCGATGAGAAGCATACTTCGTGTGACTCCAAAGTTTGCTGTTGTCCCGGGTCAACACATAGCTCGGGTGAAGAATACACTTTCTACAGGAAGTATTGAAAGTATAGGTATTGGTTCATTGAAACTGATTCCCAACCTGAAAACTCCCAAGTCCATCAGCATAAGACAGGGTGACCTTAAAGATCCAACCCTCAGAGTATCTATCCGGATCCATCCGAAGGAGACATGAGAAAGCAGTATAAACTTCACACACTTCACTTCACATATACTGTGTGATGTGTGTGATGTGCCTTCCATCGTATTTTTTTGCATCTCCTTTCCCGTATTTTCTCTCTTTTACATCTCCTTTTCATAGGATTCCTTTGCTCAAACAGTCTTCTTTTGCAAGTAATAGTCATCTGAAACCCCATTCTTCCTTTTCGAAAGAAACTGTACTTTAAAAAATATTTTCTTATTAATCATTTTAAAGTACATCTGTACTTTAAAAAATATTTTTTTTCATGTTTTAAATCTAATAGGTAATTTGAAATATTTTTTCAATGTTGTTTTCAAAAATGGAATCCGAATTTCTGTATCACGTCAGAATTTTTTGTAAATTGAGAGCTTTTACATTTTCACAAATACTTATATTTTACCTCATATTAATCGATTTATTTTAGTGATACAAATTATAAATAAAGTGCACAATAACAAAAATATATTTAATATGTTTTATAAAGTATATAAATAGCTTTATGAATATATTAACAGATTTTGTATATCATATAAAGCATATAATCGAATGGAAAGAACATAAAAAAATACTTCCATATATTGTTCTTCTATAATGCATATTATAAATTTAGCTGACAGTTTTAAAGCTAAGCATTATCTTCAAGGCATTAATTCAAGGCAAGAATTTTCTTTTGGTTGATTTTCGTCTTCTTGTACTTTCTTCACTAGGTACATCTCTTTTTAACATCCAGCAATACTCCGCCATCATGTTTTTATTCCACTTTCCTTGGTACCGTAATTCCATATCTTTTATATCCTAATGAAATCGTTCACCTTGTTCTCCCTTGGGGTTTCCTATATTCCCTGGAAAGTAATCTATGTGTGTATGTACAAAATGTAATTTAGTACTCATGTTGCAGAGCAATCTTAATTTTTGTAGCATGTCTTTTATAATAATTTCGTAATTTTTATGTTTGTCCCTTAAAAACTGTTCATTCGCCTGTTTGAAACACAACCATGCTTTTTTTTTTCACAATTATTCATCGTTGCTTCAAATTTGGAATCTCACATAAGTTTTTGAATTTGAGGTCCAATAAAAATTTCCTCTTTAAGTTTAGCATCAAAAATAGAAGAAAATTTTGCCACAAATGTACTTAAAGCTACAATTTTCTTTATTTAAAGTTTTGACAAACAATTTCATAATACCTAATTTAATGTAAAGCGGAAGCAAAATATTTTTGGATTCAACTAGTGGTTTGTGAAGAATATTTTTAAAACCAGATAATAAACACTCTCGGAAAGGCCAATCTTTTTTCCCAGTAATTCTTTTTATCCCGACTATCATAATCGCCTAGAAAACATGAAAATTTAGAGTATTGTTGTCCAAGTAACATTCCAATTACCTTCAAGCTATTGATGTTTATTATAATTTACCTTGTCTTATAAAAACGCGATGTTTTCATGTGTTTCTTTCAAATGAGCACGATGTGTCACTGGAATCGATGTATATTGATTTCCATTATGAAGTAAAACTCTCATCAAACACCTTTTTAATAGTTTCCAGTCAGAATATTTGTGATTAATACCAAAGAAATTCATTATTGCATTAGCATCATTGCAGGACACAAGTGAGCCTTCTTCCGAAAAATTTAGTACCAATTCTTTTTTACGATGTCTATACCATAAAAAGTGTATTTGTGGTAGTAGTAGTTTTAAGGCCTGAACCAAGAAGTTCAGCACCTTCCTTTGGCAACTTTTAACACTTTTACTAAATCATAAAGCACACAATGATTAAATAATATTGGTATAGTTTCATTTGTTTCAGGTATATGCAGATCTTCCTCTTCTTCAATTACTTGCAAATCTGAATACATTTCTATATCACTTATAATTTCCATATTTGCTTGAGGAAGAGAAGCAGGAAGATTTACATTATGACTTATAGGTATTACTGCTAAAGGTAGGTTTGGATATACAATACCTCTTTCATTTTTTTGCATTATAACCAGTAACACTGTCACACAAAAATAATAATCATCACAATGATTCTTTTGTTTTTGGAACACCATTGGAATTGCAAAAGGCATTGAATGTTTCTTACTTTTACTCCAAAGGTGCAAAGCTTCAACACAAATTCGACACACTTTATGCGAAGCCCACGGCTTGTCTTGATCGTCTAGTTTATTTCCAAAATATGCAAAGTATGCGTTTTTGACAAAATCTGTTATATTTTACCTTTGTTTTACTGGTGCATAGTTTCCACAAATATAACAGAACATATCGGCATCATTCATAAATTTACGGAAAGCCATACTTCATAAAATACTAATTAAAAGCACTGAAAATAACTACTTTGAAACTTAGCAAACGATTAATTTAAGGCTAAGAAAAAAATGGAAGTTTAAAAGTGTAACATGATTAAACTATCCTAAATAAAGTGTTGCCATATATTAGAAATAGAATTAATCGCAAACGCATATTTTCCATATAAATCATTCAAAAAAACCTTACGTGATAGGAAGAAAATATTTATATTTCTGAAATCAGCATCACAAATATTTCTAGAAACAATGCAAAATATAGAAACATCAAAAACCATGCTGATGAGTATAATCCTCGGAAATGTCGGGAACCAGCGTAGCATAATATTTTATATCGAGTGAAAACCTTTGGTCTAAGGACTTTTTCTTCATTAATAAAACTTCATTTTAAACATATTTTCTTTCTTCAACATAACAAATTGTACCTTGTAGCTTGTTAGTTTGTACAAACGTCCATGCTAACAAATGCCCACTGACATGGTACCTTATTGAAGTTCGACAATTTAGAGTACAACATTAGTCTACTACATTAATCATTTCAGTCGAAACATTTTAAATTGCATTTACCATTTGCAGGCGTGGTAAAGAGAGTACTAGCGTGATTTCCCATAAAATCTAATTATATTTTATAGTAGTTTCTGCCGAACACGTACCGAACGTCAGGTTCGTTAATTCCATTAACGGGACTTAGGCATACCAGGCATTCATAAAATAATTATTTGCAAGCATATGACGTTGATATTAGAGCATCATCGCACAGAAGGCGTTTTTTGCGTTTTTGACCGGAGAGCCAAAAAGTGGTCTTTTTTCAGCGCGCTCTAGCCACATCGCAGATTGTCCGCAGATTACAATTAATACATGCATTTTGTAGGAAAGTTTATGTACTTTAATTTTGCATTCATCTTCGAAAAATGCTTAGTTTTCGAGTTCTGAGTGAAACACTGAAAAAATGCCAAATTTTTAGGTCCCCCCCACACCCCCGATCTTTATTGTGAAGCCGGCCTCTGGCGAGGTGGAAACCTAAAATTCAGATTCATGACTTTCTCCCAAAATTATACAACTGGTAGAAAAAAGCTTCTTTTTCATTCGGCAAAACCTTCGCTGAATGGATTATCAACAATATGAAATCGATGAGACAAAGAACTGTCATCTCGAAAGATAAATCATTCAGTTTTGCCTTGGGCGTTGTCTTTCGCTCATTTGGACATTCTGTTTTGAATCAAAAGCAAAGCCTCATTTAGCTCCACTATTAATCAAAGAAAGAAACTTAGAAAGAACTTAGCTCATTGGGTGTGAATTACTGAATGCTGTTAAAATTTCAGGTGTTTTTGCAGAGTTCAGTTGAAGGTATATGGAACATTTTACTTTCAAAAGTTATTAGTTACTAGCCACTTGAGCGGCCAGTTGTTTAAAATAGTTATTATAAAAAAAGAAAAAATACAAAATTGTTTTAATGAATCCAGCTGATGGAACTTCACGGGTACAGCTTGCAGTTAATTAATAATAGCTGAAATGAATCTGACTTTATTTCTTATAAACTGCTTAATTTGTTAATTAATGACAGAATAAATTTGAGAGAAAAATTAAATATTATCTTACGCTTTGCTGAACGACAACATACTGCTGCGTAGTAATAAAAATATTTTTGTTTAGGTGGTGGCAACATATTTCTTTTAAATAGCTAAGTTTGTTGATCGAATTCGAAAAACAAATGCATTACATGTTACCTAGTGGCAACACACTTCTTTTATATTGCCGAGTTTTCTAATTTAGTTGGAAACATAAATATTTTAGACTTTGTTGAATGGCAACACAAAACTTTTAAAACAAAATTCGACATTCCAAAAAGTGCACACGTCGGTTGGACGAGTATTTGTGCGTTCAAACTGTGGAGGTTTTAGGTGCCGTCTTTTTTTCACAATTACAGGTACATAAATACTTATATAAATACATACGTATAGATTCTTCATAATTTAATTATTAGTATGTATAGTTATGTATTTCATTCGGTATCACAACCAAATGGGTAATTGGCAAATCTTTCCTCTGCAGTTAAAAAGTAACAGCTCTCGGGATGCTTAGACTATACACAAAATAGAGACTACTCTAGCTCTCACTAATGGCACAACTTCAGATCATAACTCCAGATAGATGCGTATTATTGCAAGTTATTAAAGCAGTCTCCATACAAAGTTTTTATTGGTATTCATTAATTGTGCTTCTGCCGTTATCTCTTCCAGCTGGTGCTTATACGACTTTCGAGCGGAAAAATTACTTCTTTCTGGTTTTTCTTTCTATTTTTTCGTTTTTGGCTTATTCCAAACTTGCATTTTTTTTTCTGACATTGGAAGTATCATAATGGCTCTTCCAAATGTTTTTTTTTTCTTTACATGTGTACACGCCCATCTGCTATTCTTGAACACAGCTTCGCTCTTATTCTTGTGCTAAATCTTTAGCCGATGCATCCGATTACATTTGCGAAGTGTTTATAAAGTCTTTATGTCTCCGTATTAATTTTTGATCTTATGATCACTTCATTACTTTGAATACTACAAAAACTTTTTATATCGTTATAAAATACTGCAAAGGAATAACCTCTATAAATGACATAAAAACTTATAAATAACGTATAAAAACTTACAAAAGACATATAAACCTTATAAATAACAACATAAAAATAGCTTGTTACTTATTTAAAAATATGTAACATATTCTATCTGCATAAGATTAAAATTCATAAAACTAATTTTATGAATTTTAATCTTATGCAGATAGAATATGTTATATATTTTATTTGCCCTGACAACACTTTTTAAGCGATATTTCCATCTCTGAAAGGGCCCACCAGCGGCCGAGCGGTAAAGTCGCTGAACACTGGTAGTTCGGTCCGAGGTTCGAATCCCGCGAACGGGCTGGCTGCATGGGTGTTTTCGTGGTTTTCCCCATGTTTAACGTATGTACGAGCCAGTTTCCCTTACAAAGTCCTCCACGAAGGCATCCATCCCCTTATGCAGATAGCCCTAGTGTGCTTTGCCATAATTAAATACACCACCACACCATCTCTAAAAGAGATATGAAAACCAGCAGCTTACTTAATTAAAAAGAAAAATAAACCTATTATTAAATAATTTTACAATATTTAAATATATATTTTTCAATCATAGAAACAAATGATATGGTAATATTTGTTTTATTTATTCACAGAGAAGGAAAACAATGTCTCATTATTTAGCCAATAATTAAAATTAATTATTGAAGATCTAATATTTTTATTACAGAATGACCTCTACAAGTACATTTTAGTAACACCGAAACTGGTATTTTATTCTAAAGGTTTAATTGTTTCCAAATTGTCCCTTGTGTTACTGGTAGCGAAGTTTAGTTAAAACGCTAGCTAGCGAAAAAAAAAAGTATTTTAGTTAAATTTATTTACCTGATAATAAATAATTCGCATTTAAATTTCTATTCTTGTTAATCATGAAAAATGTTCCAGTATGTACTAGTATCTAAAGGTTAAACTTACAAATTCATTCTTTGAAATTATTCAAATAGATAGCACTAATATTTTAAAAACTGACGTCGTATATAATTTGAAGAATTGTAAGTGCAATGTAAACATTTAATGGTTACTAAAAGAATAACTTTTTTAGGAAAATGTGAAAGTAATTGGTTTCCAGATTGTGAAATTATGTTTATTTCATGAAATATAGCAAGACTTAATACTTTCAATTTAAATGAATTCTTATTGTCGTTTAGTTCTTGAATTGAGACAAACAGCCTTTTGTAGGTTTCAGATTCTGAAGCGGAGATCAGTAATTAATATGTATCTTTCCAACAGAATTTTATTTTGTCGTTAACTGGGATTTAATCTAACATGGCCTGAATAGCCGACTATTTGTTTCATTCGAAAAGCAGAAATGAAAGAATTACTGATTTCAATGAACATGTAAATGCAATGTACGATATCCTTTGTGAATAGGGTGAAAAAAGTTGATTGTAAATCATATGCTAAATTCACTTACAAATATATTTAGCAGTGAGACCTTGCCGCCTGATCAAAGTTTAAAAAGTGTGGTGAAGAAACAATTAAAAATACGGTATTTGTATCAAATATTATATATATTTTTTCTGAAAGAATCTGCATATATAGAGAAAGAACAGTGTCTTTTGTATATGTGCAATTCATACGTATCTACAGTTATAATCCGATCTTCAATGAAGTATCGCACACTTGACCCTCGAAACAAGAAGATTACTGTCTACAAAATATTTAGAAAGAAAAAAACAAAACTCCACAGGTCAATCGTCTTTATATATAAAGATTTTGTGTGAATTTAATAAACTTTTGGTTTAAAAGCTTTGTATTGCCGCTCTGCAAAATGAAAAATATTTGTGTTTCAAATTTAATCAGAAGGCTTCGCGATTGAAAGAAGTGTGTTGCCACTCGGAGAAACGCAATATATTTTAATTTCGAATTTAAGAAACAAAGTTTTTAAACAATAAATTTAAAAAGAAATGCTCGATATAAAATATTTTTAACTTTCACGCATCAGTTTACTGCCGCTAAGCCTAAGATAGTTAATTTTTCTTTTAAATTTAATCTGCCTGTTGTGAAATTGACAATTTGAGCGATTTAAAAACGATAAATGAAAATTTATTTCTGTTATTAGTAATTACTACCTGGACCTATAAAGTAACACTAGGTGAATTCATTAAAATCATCTGTACATACAAAGAAGAGCGTCAGTTTGCTTCATTGTGTGTCTGTGTGTGTGTGTGTGTGTGTGTATGTGTGTAATTTCAACAGATCTAGAATTTTATTACAATCTCGATCAAATTTTGTACATTTTCAAAATAAGAGGAAGGTCATTTCTACTTAAGATTTTGAAAAAAACCACCCCACACTCAGGATGTTTGTATTTAAACGTTACGCTGACGACACCCATCTTCACCCCGCCTCTGTTGCGTTTCCGTTATTAATTCTTAAAAAAGCCGTTAGTTGGGGCAGTGTTCGTTTACACTTTAAAATAGTGCAGAACTTTCCAGATCAGAATAGAAAATTTAAAGCAAAATTTAAATGAGCTCTAAAAGTTTTTCAGTAATATTTCGAAAAAGGGATTTCGAAATTATTACTGCTATGCCCCTAAATGAAGCCTTTTCGCTTGTGCGTAAAGCCCGAGTAAAGCCGGGTATTTCAGCCAGTATGCAATAACGCTTGAACATATCTTGCGTAGGTAGTCTCATTTATTTTTATTTATTTATTATTTTTTTTGGGTGGTGCAGTTTTCTTAATACTTTAAGATTATGTATACTCATAATAATAATGATTCTCCTTTGTAGGAAGGTATCTTTCGAAATGATATCAAGCTACTTTTACAGAGCTATTGCATTGATGCTGACAGTGGGTGCTCTTTCAAAAATTCAGAAAATTGATAGACGAGAACAAGCTAGATCAGAGAAATTTGCCAAGCTTTTAGAACATGATGATAAAAGTAAGTATTTATAAACTCCATTTAATATACCAATAAAATGAAGTGAATTTTTTTCGATGAGTAATAGCGCAAGACATGCATCGTCATTTTCTGGCTGATAATAAAAAACACACTTGAAAATTAATCACAGCAAAAATTTAATATTTCTTGAGTAATATTCAAGAGGACTTATTCACAATATGAATAAAAATCCTTTTATTTTACCAAAAAAGAACCCTTTTATTGAAAGCATTAAATTTCAAAACTGGAAATCACGCCAAACTGAAAAAACTTAACATTGCAAAAAATAGCGTAAATAAAAATATTAGAGGCAGCAAATCAAATCCAAAATACGATAAATCAAAAACGAACAAGTGACTTTGCCCTTGAAACTCGCTGAATATGCTGTTGCCATGTTAAACTAATTTCTTTTAGATATTTCCTTATTCCTGTAAATTTTCATTATCATTTTCCTTAGCATTTTTCTCATAAGTCGGTAAAAAAAAATTATTTAGTTATCCTCAATTCAAGATTTAACCCAATTTATATACCTATCATCAGTTAAAAACTATCATTATTTTCAAAAATGACTAAATTACGTTTTTCATCCATTCATAAACTTTAATTTTGAACTTTCAGTACTTTAATTTCTCTGATACCTCAAATGATTTCGCTTGTTTAATTTTATTGCTGTCTTAAACTTTTTTTCCCAGTTACCCTTACATTTCACATGTTGCTTAGTATCATTTAACACTGTGTGAAAAATATTCACATTTAAATTCAAGAAGGTAAAATGTTATACTCATAGAAAAGCTAAATTTGTAAATAACGTTCTCTCCCCCACCTTAAAGAAATAAAAAAATCTGAAAGGGTTTAGATTTTAACGATCGACCACAACGATCGGCCCTTTTAGAGTTTAATCAGTACAGATTATCGATAGAAATAGCGCAGAGGGAATAACGAAACATTTTATAGGATATTAGATAAATATTTAGATTAACATATAAATGTTACATACATTTTACATATTTAAAAAGTGAAAGAATATATAATGCAATTCTATAAAAATACTTAATTTTTTTTAATTAGCTATATCATGAATTAAATGCATTTTTATTCAAATCAATCAGATTAAAATGTAAAAAAAAAGATATTCTTAATAACATTCTTGCTTTTAAATAGTTTAGTTTGTTAATTTGTAAGATTCTGTCCTGTGTGCTTTTAAGTTACAGGTGAAGTTGAAGAATCTTAAGAACTGATCAGCGAATAATCGCTTGAGTTAGCGAGATAGATAACAACACGAAAGAAGAGTGAAATTACCCTTTATTACTCCAATAAAGTTTAACAGAACTCTCTTGGAGTTTTACAATAAAGCCGCCACTCGGACTTGAACTTAGGAAACTAAGAACTGAAACTTAACTAATCGTAACTAAAAAAAGAACTAGCCAAAGCTATCAGAATTCTAACAGAGTTGGCCTCTTAATGCTGAACAACGGCGAAGCTATCAAGGGCCTAAAGTACGGCCGAGTGTAATAATAGCTTAAGAGAGAATAACCTAAGAAGGCGAAAGCGCGTTAGTCAGAATCACTGGTTCTCTCTAACGAAGTCGGTAGAACTTCACGGTTAAAGACGTCTCCTTATTTGCATTCAAACGCGATTCTAAAACTACGTTCTAGCCAGAAGTTGTAAGTTGAATTCATAAAGACAGGAAAGGAACTTCAACTCAAAACTTAACTGTTAGAGAAATTAACATAATCCTTACAGATTAATAACAGATAGATTAAATATAAAAGAACAATATCTTACGTTTTTCCGAATGATAACAGACTCGAATAAAAAGTGAAACAATGCATTAAAGTGAAGCAATGCAAAATCGCGTTCCGAAACTAATAACACTATTGGGTTGAGAAATAATCAAATAAATAATGTATCAATATGAAAAGAAACAAAATGAGTTTAAAAAAATAATTAATCTCTATTTCGATCTTTCTAGCGTTACTAAATTATTATTTTCATTCGGAAGATTTTATGAAAATTTGGATATGAAGAAGAAACTAAACCTTCTATTACGCAGTAGAATGCTATACTATTCAAGCAATTAAAACTAATTGCAAGGCATCAGCATCAGCTGATTCAACAAAGGATAAGTTTAATACAAAATCTTATTCTTTTCATTATATAAGAATATTTATATTTTAATATATAAAAAAGCACATTAGAGCACTATACCTTAAAGCTGCATATAAATGTTAAGAATTGGAGTCCTGGCATGTAGTTTTTATTTTTTAATACAAGACAGCTGAATAAATTAATAATATTTAGATAATTATAAATTTACATAATTTGTTTTTGCTTAATATATTGCTATGTATTAAATATGCTTTTAATTAATATTGGAAAGATCAACATTATTTATTATTCAAATATAACTTTAAACATTGATTCTGTTTCTAAACAAGGTCAAATTAAAAATGAATTTATTTTCAAAGTTTCAAAGTTACTTAAGTTTGAAACATAGGTTGTCTGATCTAAATCAGCTTTCACGTGCATGCGAAAAATCTGAAAAAGCGCACGAATGAAGGCTGACTTAAGATACAGCCTCAAATAACGTGATGAAAATAAATGCTGCGCGGAAATGACAACGTAAGTTACGATCGCAAATGTTGGGGAGCTGACAACAGCCTTGAAATTCCTATTTGAAAATAACAGACTATGTAGAATTAATAAATCCAAGTATTAACAAATGCTATAAAGTTAATGGGTTGAGGTAACACGAGAACAGCTTTTATATTAATTCTCAATATTATTTTTGAACTGAAAATACTTTATGAGAGGAAGACGAAATTCAGTTCGTTTATTAGGAATATCAGTAAATATTCTGATTGCTGTAATGGTTAGGTACGCTGGCTGCCATATCGTTGAGCTTGGCGTCGAAGACTTGGGTGTTTTAAATGTATAGCGTCTTTTCGACGTTGGAGTACTTAAAATACACAGAGCCAAAAGTTCTTTTGAGAAGCTTGGTGATAGAAGAAGGGAGGAAGACCCTTGAATCCTACCTCGGGGGATTTTTCTTCAGCATTGGGATGCAACCAGGCAAAACTGTTCTCTCACCTTTAAAGCTACGTCTGTTGCTCATGCCGACAGCAACAGACGTAGCTCCTTACCAAAGTAAAATTTATGTGCTTATTTTGATCTTTAATGTAAAATTCATGTGCTTATTCTGATGTTTAAAGTAAAATTCATGTGCTTAATCTGATGTTTAAAGTAAAAATCATGTGCTTATTCTGATGTTGATGATTATGATGTAAGCACATTTGCATTTTTTTTTAATCATTTCTAATGTCTAATACGTTCAACATTAAAAAAGAAAGCAAATGACATGGGATCCTAACATTAGAACGCCATACACTGCCTAATGGTAAATTTCGAGAAGTAGGCAAAATGTTTGGTTCCTCGTCAGGTTGAAATCGGATCAAACTAATTCCGATATCTACGTAATCTTTTCCAGTTGCTCAGCTTTAGTATTCCGAGACCAGGCAAAATTTTGAATTCTTCGTCAGCTTGAATTTCGTTCAAATGCTTCCAGTATTTACACATTCTCTGATGGCTGTTCACAGCACCGTTCCGGCAGCGGACAAAATTTTTGGTTCATCATCAACTTAAAATTCATTCAGGCTCTTCGCAATATCTGTTTATTCTCTGAGGAATGCTTCCTTGGCCGTTCTGGTGGGGGATAAAATTTTTGAAATCTCGTCAGCTTGAAAATGTTTCAATTTGTTCTCCATATCTACGTATTCTTCACCGACTACTCATATCTCTCTTCCAGCAGCGAACAGGTTAACAAATGATGACTCATTACTACTAGTCGAATATCGAATGAAGTTCTAGATCCAAATATCGCTTTCAATAAATTTCTTACCTGAAGTTATCAAAATAGTATTTTGCAAATTTGTTGAACACACTGAGCCTCAAAAGCTAATATAACATAAACGTTTCATTTTCATATTTCTAACACCTGACGAGGTAATAATATTATAAGGTATTCTCCCGCCTTCTTGGCAAGCTTTCGTTGTGTGGTGGTCTGCACGCTGGGCGCATATTCCAGAGGTCCGTGGTTCGATTCCCGGCGAAGGCGTCGCACACTTTTCATCTCTCCTACTTTCAATTAACCTAATGTCTCTACAATGTCTTCCCGGCTGTAATGACTGTAATTTATCCAGTTCTTAAGTTACGTAAAATTGCTTCAAATAAAAATTACACATATCTCATTCTATACGAACATTTTATTGTTATCCGTTAAGGTAGCATTCAAAATTTTCAAGACATATACATACACATGTTTTCGCAGTTCTCTTTTACTTCACAATCCCCCCTTCGATTTTATTGGCCAAACTCAATAATATAGTACATTCATAATCGAGAATATTTCTAACTTTGATGTTTTTACGGAAATGGTAACCTTTTTTGCTTTGCTACCAGATCATAGATTGATGCTCCACTTAAAAATATTTCTAATACCCAAAATTCAAGATAAACAAATCATCGTAAGTATTACAAGTTATTTAACCTTTTTTTTTAAAAGCATGGTATTATAAATAAAAAATTTGTAACTTATATCGGAGGTTATTTAGTCCTGAAATGCACTTTTTTAGTTTGTTATTTTCATTACATATTAACTACGATACGCTACGTTACTTTTCAGAAATTTTACATTAAAGTTTATTTGATAAATAAGAAAAACCTTGGAATAGCAGGGAAAAAGCAAGTGCTTGATAATGCTGTCACAAAATTTATAAACATATTTCAAACACAGTTTTGTGAAAACGAAATAGAATACTGTTAAGTGAACCTAGCGCCAGAGTGTCGCTGTAAACAAATAGAATGAATTTTAAGGAATGCATTTATTCTATTGTGGTTTATGCGCTGTCGGCGAAGTACATTTAATTCAATCCAATAAGTTTAAACGAAATGCAAGAAAAAAATGCGTATAATTTAATATTCCGTACAAGGAAGTCATGTGG